GTGTCTTTCAAATCGGTCCTCCTATTTTGGTCCTCCTTTGAGGGTTAGCCAAATATTCGTCTCTGTCGCCAAGTATAGTAAGAGCATCGTGCGTTGGTAATCACCCGCGAAGATGGTCGCGCTAGAGTGAGGCGGGGTCGTACTTGGGATTTGGAAGAGAAATTTCCAAAAAAAAAGGATCGGAAAAGTGGTAGGAAGCTGAGAAATTTCAAAGGATACGTAGTTTAGGGAAGGGGCCATACTAAAGGAGTAACTTTTAAGCGGGGTATCGCATTCTGCAGAGTTTTCCCTTGCCCTGGTTACATTAGTCCCAATTGCACAAAAAGTCCTTTAAATATGCCCCGAGGTTACTCGCGCCGATTAATCTTCATGTAATTTTTGCATGATTTGACAGAGGTATAGATCTGTCTGTGTTTTGAGGGGGTGGATTCTAGGGCTTCACTAAGTAACTTGTATCTTTCAATACGGAATTTCCTGGCCCGGTTTTTGACTCGTTTCTTTCTAGTTAGCATTGTGATTTTTCATGTATGATGATACTAAGTAGCTGATTCATGAAAAAGTTACATCATTGGACAGAGATATCTGTAGCATCTTTGAGCGTCTTTGTGTAGTGAAATTCAGGCGCTGTTCGGCTTGGGAGGGTATTTTGCATTTTCACCAACTTGCACGTCATACCTTGGTGAGACCCGTAGACTCCCGTCAGGTCAGAACGAAGCTCCTAGTATTGCCCAGCTCCACAGGAGTTTACAAGTTACCACACGAGGCCTCGACGTGGGTGATAATAGTTAGGAAAATGCCCCCACCAAGCTGAACTACGCCCAAATTCATTTCATTAGAACAGTATAGATTTTATTAGGTTTCTTAATCAGTGCTGATTGATTTTCTATTCGTTTGCGTGTTTTCTACGGGTATGAATGTCTTTTTTGTATATCTTTCTTTGCTTGTGAATAGCTAAATTCCGCCATAAGATGGTGATCAAAGTCCGTCCTGATTTTGTCATTGATGCTCACTAGCTGTGCTCTGTTCACTGTTAAGTAAAATTAGCAACTAAACTACTGTTCAATTTTCCAGAACGATTTCAAAATTTGTCTTCAAGTGGAAATTTTCTCTATTTGGTATGATAACATTGTATCTCATAATTAAATTATGATGAATCGTCGTGTGATTGTGTGATCAAAGTGTATGACGCACTGAAGACTATCTTTTTTTTCTTCGTTTGAATCCTTCTGAATTCAGGTGTTGATAACCTTGGGGTGAGCCACATAGAAGGCGGACAAAATAATCGTAGTTTGACGCGTCGTCGCGCGCGGCGTCCCGCGCGCAAACTGCGAGGCGAATCCTCGATGTGCATCAGTCTGTCAACTGGAGCAAAACTCGTAGAACTCAAGCAAAGGCATGAATCTATGACAGGCGATATCAAATTTTCCCATCTCTGGCATTCATATTCGACCGGCCAGGCAAGGCAACTCGTCCGTTAGGTGCACATCGCTCGCCAACGCCGTGCATATTACGATTGTCTTGCCACATACCCGAGCCACACCTACAAGCCTTTTTCAATGTGCGTCTTTGTTTTCTTTTCTTGTATTTTCACAATCGTGTATCACCTTGCAAGTCCTGTTAATTCCTGTCAAGTACCCTGTAAACACCTGTCAAGTTGGCGGAATGGTGCTAGCGTTACTGTGAAGCCATTTCTCCATTTTCTTCAAAACCTTGACCAGTCATTTTGACAAGTTTGACAAGAGTTTGCAGGCTCTTTGACAGGTGATAGCAAGGCTCACAGGGTGTAGGTACTGTAGCTGCGGGTAGAATTTGCAGGATTCAGTATGCTGACGAGTGCTCACAAATGTGCCCCCCCCCCGTTTATTTAGCGCCGGAATTTGTTATATACGCCACGACAGAGAAACACGTCTTCCATTTCAGATGAAACTTCTCACTCATAACTTCTTGTCATCCAGGTTTCTGAAGAATGTGACCAATGGTTATCCACTTATTCTTCGAGCTAATCAAATAGCTAATAAGGAAGTGGAGTTTAAATGAGACTTTTGTTCTTCAATATGATGCCTAGGGGGCTTGTGTTTTGTTGTGAGAAGAGTTCCAGACTCTGACGGAGGAATCAATTTCTGGCTATATATAGCTTGATTATGCTTCTTTATACAATGCGGCTTATTCGATCGGTGAAGCTGGTAACATGCCTGCGACTTTACCTGATGATTGGGAGACGAATACACCGGTACTAATGGAGGTTTGTTCCTTCGCTTGAAACACTCACTACGACTTGCAACTGAGAATCCTCAGTTTTCCGAGAGCGTATAAAGCGCACTTCATCAGCATTGCACTGCACATTGCCGGCTCGACGACAATGCGCGCGCGCGAAAGTTTCTGAAAGCACAGCTGTTTTTATTCATCTTTTCGGCTTTTCCAAACACTTACTTATTTCTTGTGAGTCCATTATATAATAATGCCAAACAAAGCCTTTCAGAAGAAACCAGAAACAATTTTCGTTGTCCGCTTCGAAGTGAATGCGCGTTCCCTGTGCACGGAGCGCTACACGCCGCGAAAATAGGACCAGCATGAGTTTTGAGTATTAGATATTGCGGAGCAGGGGGAGAGGCATTTTGCAATATTGCTGCTTCTCATTGACGTGTCGACCCATCTAGGGAGCCATTTCATTAGCTTATGGTTGAAAGAGTTGACAGGTCGCTCACCTTGGCAGCATCCAGCTAAGACGCTCAGCTAGGCGCCGAACCCTGACCTAACCAGTTAACCAGTTTTGACTGTTTTTGAGCCACTTTTTGCCTTCTCCCATTCTCTCACTTCCCTATTCCAGTGCTTGTTAGGTAAGTCAAGTTCATCTGTTTTACTCAACTGTGCCCCAGTCCGGACATATAGCTTTTGTTCCATTTAGTCTTCAGTTTCTTGATACCCGTAGAATATGATGGAGTACGAAATACAAAAGATCATGATGGAACCACTTCTATTATAAATACGGCAAAGCTGATAGTTGGAAGAACGTGAAGAACAGCTCAAGAACCGACGAAAATAACTAAAAAATGTCCGCGGTGTACAAGTTCTCGTCTGCGCTGGCGTCCTACCAAAGCAGGGCGATCGTCCCATCAGTGAAGAGATTGGCTGATAAGGACGAATAGTCTGGCGCAGGTTGCGGTGTGCGGAGGGCATATGAGGGTGACATTAACGGCCACGGCGCACCATCCGACATATACCCGTTCACAGGCATTCTCTCTACATTCTGTGGACGGGCACCGCGGTTGACAGATAGACGGCGCTTCGATACTGCGACTCGGCTAATCCTGGATATCTTCTTCGGAAACTGTTGGGTTGATGTTGTGCACTTCACCCACAATCTATGCCGAAAGGCGTGATCTTTCACAGGAAGTCTTTTGAACAGCCTAGCAATCATTTCTACTGCATCTGGATGGAGACTTGCAGCAAAAAATTTCGTTTACATTCCTCTTTCCGCCTGTCCCACAAAAATCGTGAGATGCGTGAATATAGACATCGATCTCTATTTTAACATTTCCAGACTGCTGAATTTTTCTATTTCATGCCCTGGAATGAACGGCAAAACTGCCCCTGCACTCCATTCTACCCTACCATATATAAACGGCGTCTGTCTGTCTGTCTGTCTGTCTGTCTGTCTGTCTGTTTGTCTGTCTGTCTGTCTGTCTGTCTGTCTGTCTGTCCGGAAATTCGGAATCACCTGAAGAGCCAGTTGGAGGGGGCGGGTCAAGGGTGGGTTGGGTAAAGGCATGGGTCAAGATGCATGAACTAAGCCGACCCCGCCCGCTGTGGGCGGGGCATGCGCACAGTTGTGAGCTAAATATTTCAAAAATTCTTAATTCGGTTCCGAAAGAGTGCTGAGAGCGGAAAATGTGGGAAATGATAGGAAATCAATTGGCAAACGAAATATGTGAGACACACCGGGGCGGGGCGTTCTTGGGCGGTGCTTGCCACAAAACTCAAACATTCGTAAATCGGTTCCAAAAGAGCTCGGAGAGTGGGAGAAGTGGCAAACGATAGGCAATCAGTTGGCGGACGAAATGAGTGAACAAACCCATTCTGTGGCGGAGCTATAAGTGGGCGGTGCTTGCTACAAAATTTTCAAAAGCTCGTAATTCGGTTCCTAACCGGTGAGCAAAAAATGTGGGAAACGGTAGAGAATGAATAGGTAGACGGATGGGGTAGGCACATCTGCTGCGAACGTGGCTTGAATCAGAATTTCGTGTTAGCATTAGCATACGTAACTGCATTGGACGAAGCTTCAGTCAAAGTACTAAATACCTCCTCTACAAATTGGCGAACTATCACTTCTCCTAAATACACCCGGCTTTGTTCTGATAATCTAATAGGTTGTGCGTACCTACGCTGAACAGCTGGAAGCAGCCGAACAGCAGCGGCGAAAATAGTGCTCTAATGAAAATACTTCCAAACATATCCTCGGCGAACTACTATGGTGAACTAGTTCTCTGCGCATTGCTGCAGAACGTATTGACCCACATCTGCCCCGCATATTAATCCTACTCTTCTTAGGGATTTA